AACTAACTAACGGTAACCTCCGAGAGGCCCAACAGCATCATTTCCTCCTTAGTCCATTGTACAACCTCTCGTTTCAACCAATGGAATCGCTCTAATCCCATTTTGTCTTCTTTGTCCGTAAATTTCAATAATCAGCCCGATGTGCGTCGAGCCGACTCGTCCGTTGTGTCACACGCCGGTCGCCGGTATGTTAATAAATTGTTGGTTGATGGAACCTTCCGTCAATTTTCCACTTTCCTTTTCTTCCCCTCCCTCCCAGTAAAATTCTAATATTTTCTCGACTGCTCGTCCGCCAAAAAAATCGAGGATCTCGCGGCTTGAGGCACACGCCCAAGGTGACACCCGGAACAAATATATGTCTAATGGGTCAGTTGCAAATGAAGATAAATTAATAGACTTCTTTAAGTGAGGACCGCCCAAAAAGTACCAGGGGCACACTTTTAATGGATGTATCTATGTTAAACAGGGTTATTCAAAAGTCACGCACCACTGGCCATAACTTTAGTTTTAATTATGATATCGACTGACTTGCGGTCAAAGACGTTTCCCTCATATCGAAGGGGAAACTTTTTTAAGTATACTTTCCAGTTTTTGATCCCCTCGGGGGGAGGGGGGCAGGGGGCAACTCAAAAATTTCAAGTGACATCCCTTGAGTTTTAACCCAAATTGCTCATCGTTTATAAAAAGCCGTATAATTAATTTTGTCAATTTCCGCAATGATAAATTTGCTTTTTTGGAAAACGACTGCTGTTTCCCATTAGATTTCGAGTGCAATCTCTCAAAAGTGCAGCTTATCTTCTCTGATAACATTGTTTCCATATAGCTAGCGCAAGATTCCCACGCATTTTTCCTGTAACTGGGATGCATGTATGATAAAAGGAAAAGAGATTATTAATATTATACGTTGGGATTTAAATTATAAGGTGCGTCAAAGAACTCATTATATTGTCTGAAACTCATCGCGTATTGACATTACTTCCTTAGTGTTGCCAAATAGGTATGAAATGAGGTCTGCACCACGTCCCATAATTTCATGGATATTATCACGTCGTCGAAGTTGATATGCATAACACTTAAAACAATCCTACTTAGTTTGTATGCTGTTTATTTAATTCTTCACAAAGCACAGAGTTAAACTACATAACTCACATATTATTTGTCGAATCCATAGAATTTAGCTTATTCTTCAAAAATTCACCGAATCCACTGATATTCATTAATATTTCATGTAGATGAACTGAGCTGGTCCACTCCTGGCACATTTCATTTCCTGACGATCAATTTATGATTATAGGATTTCTACAATGATGAGGAAAAAGTCACCTCGAGGTTACTTGGGTTACAGGAGAAGAAGTTGTATTAATTCTGCTTTGACGCTTCCATTTACAAAGAAGCCGCAGAATATTTTTTAGTACGTCGATCTGTCAACTGCAGTCATGGCTGGCGGTACTCGTAGACATATCGGCAGAGCCGCACAACGGCGTGTGTCAATCCCTGCTCCATTTGGCCTTCGGCCAATGCTTTTTACAAAGTTGCGTCGCGCTAACCGATACCGGGATAATTAACTGTTAATTGATAGACTCGATCATTTCTCGAAGGCACGTGCACTTTTCAGCGCCCACTGCCTTCATCTAATTATATTTTATCATTTAAGAATCGCGTTAAAATTCAAGCTTTTTATAAGAAATCAAACGCTTCAAAACGATTATGACAATAACGGAAAAAACGGATTGACGATTTAACGATTAAATTGTTAAAAAAAAAATATGTTCGACATGTTTCAAATTTACATTTTACAATATTGGAAAGTTAATTCAACCACGGGGGTGGTTAAATTGGTATTTTTTTTTATTGAAAATTTACATTGGAACGTGTAAGACACTTTTTAACTACAAAATTGTTGAATCAGCAGAATCATTTTTCTCGTGATGAAAGAGATAATCTACCACTCCACTGCAAATACATTATGATTAAGGGAAGATGTCACCATTTTCACACTTGTCAAAAGGAAATATTTTGTTCGGGTATTCAATATAATATATCGTCCACTAGTAAATAATTTCTTCTTTCATACACAGAATGTCCTGCTTCTTTGTGTTAAGCTCATAAAGAAACCAAACACTCATTTTTGAAATAATGATGTGAACCTCAATTAGTATATGGACATTGGTCGGACGGTTTTGAATTTTCCAATTAACGCATATTCTAATCTCTTTAAAAAACTGAGAAAAAAAATTGGATTACAATTTTTTAAAATGCACTCAAAACTCTGAAAGGTTTGCTCGATAACTATATGACAAAATTTTTCCCTGTTTACCAAAACTACATTATTCGCATAGAGCCTTGAAGGTGGTTGATTTCCTTATTTTTGTGAAAATTCGTATCTTCAAACTATTTTTCCTCTGTGACACATCCTTATTATATTATTTTTCTTATTTTAATCACGACCTTTTTAAGAACGTTTCCCCTCTAAATGTCCATTGACAAAGTGCTTTGCTTTCTCCCATTTCCTCTTTTTTTCCTCTTATCACACTCCAAAATACAAGATTCGAACATGCGTTTAAATACTTTAAACCCATTCTCACCGTGATTAATTTTAATTTAATTTTATCGACTACCTAATAGCAGATCAGATGAGTTATAACCTCATAGAAATGCATCGATAAAAAAATCGATTTCAAAAACAGAATATATTGTAGTATTCCCTCGACGACCCAACGTTAAATTGAATCAGTGAGTTCGAAAACACACCAACTCGGGGAAAAAAAAATTGTTCAGGAAACACCTAAAATTGCGCAGCGGGCGAAGAAGTTAGTTTGAGAAAAACCTTTTTGGTGCCAAAGGACAAGTACTTAGAGACTTTGTAAAGCAGCAAGTTGAAATCGATACACCATGTTTGATGACAGAGAATTAAACGTTTAAAAATCTCCGAGTTGGTCTGTTTTCGTTCTCACCGACTTTCAGATGATTGAGCGTTTTTGCAGGCAAAGACCCCCTACGAATGAGCAGGCGATCACAGACCACAGAGCGGGAGTAGCTGGTGGAGCGTGCATGAAGCTCGCTCGGACTCCATGATTATACTCTGTTGCTCTCTCCTCTCCTCTACTCTTTGCACATCACATAATGGCGCCAAGCACAAATTTCACTATCGGAGAAAAATTAAACTGCTCAGCTCAGGGAATTGACCTTTTCATCGGGATTAAATTTCTAAAAGAGTTGAAACGAAGTACTAACCAGGGTAATTCTCAAAATTCTTTGGCAAGACATTTTTCTGATATAATTTAAGGATTACCTAAGGAGGGAAAATCTTTAGCATATCTGGAGAAATCACAAGCTTGTGTGGGGGCCCCGCAGCGTTCTGAGGCATTGAAATCAAATTCTAAACGTACCTACTTACATTTTGAATTTTGATGGAAAGTAAGGGGGGGAGGGGCTTCATTTATATCTGAGCCATGGGGATGCCAGATGATGAGGGATGAGTTTGAGGATTTTTGCCCTCAGCAGAGATGTTTTCAGGAGCATTGAGGGAACTAGTTAGGAGGAGGGGGGAGAAATATTACCCTCTCCTGACTTCAAGAAATATGAGGGCTTTTGCTTAGTTAGCTGTGTTGCTAGACTTTCATTGTGGAATTTGTAATTCTACCAAAAATATTTCCATGTGAAGATGAACCATCAAGCTAAAAATTCAACTCCGCATTCGCACAAATCTATAAATTTTTTTTGTGGCACAAAGGTACAACTTCTGGGAAACATCCTGTTAAAGGTAACGAGGCACTTAGCATATTTCTTGAAAAATTTGCTAAAAAATATCTTTGCACATTTCTGCTTTTGATAACTTATACCTACAAAAGTACATAACGATCCAAAAAGTGGTGAATTTTACCAGTCAGGCATCAAGGGGTGAAATATGGGAGCATAAATATAGCATTAGATTAGCTAAGATGACATTTGAATCAGTGAGTTCGAAAATACGCACCAACTCGGAAAAAACAATTTTCAGGAAACACCTAAAACTTCGCAGCGGGCGAAGAAGTTAGTTTAAGAAAAACTTTTTTGGTGCCAAAGGACGCAAGAAGTACCTACTCTAGAGACTTTTAACGCACCAAGTTTCAGATACTGATTTTTCATAGTCTGCCCTGAAAAATTTATATTTTTTGACCTGAATAACGCTTGAATATTTATATAACTTGTTGGCACAAGGTATACTGAACCGAAAAAAGAAAACCGCATCGGATAGTCACCCGTTTCCCTTGATCGGCCAAAAATTGGTATTTCCAATGAAATTCTTCGATTCTTCCCTTTTCCCGTCGCCGTTTCGAGCACTTCCGATTGCAATTTCGAAATATCCTTTTGCGTGCAGATGCTTCTACTTATCCAGAAGTGTAACTAAACCGTAAAAAAGTGAAAATCGAAAAAAACCCGTGTTGGAGTGTCTCCGAACTCACTGATTCATTTTAAATTATTGGAAACATGATTATGTGGATGGATAAGGTGGGGATGTCTTTGGTGGGGAGGTGGCAGACGATAGGATGGGTTATTAGAGTAGGTATTGGTTAGAGAGTGCTCGAACTGCTCTGAGTTCCCGTCGCGCCACGCAGCCATCTTGCCTGCTCATTCCGAGGGGGTCTTTGCCTGCAAAAAGTAAACATCCTTTCAGATACTCATTTTTCATAGTCTGCCCAGAAAAGTTTATATTTTTCGACCTGAATCACGCTTGAATATCCGCAAGTTCGGATGGTCACCCGTTTCCCTTGAAAAGGCCAAAAAAATTGGTATCTCCCATGAAATACTTCGATTTTTCCCTTTTCCCGTCGCCGTTTCGAGCACTTCCGATTGCAATTTCAAAAATTCCTTTTGGGTGCAGATGCTTCTATCCATAAGTGTTACTAAACCGTAAAAAAGTGAAAATCGAAAAAAAAAACCGAGTTTGTGTGTTTTCGAACTCACTATGATTCAATTCAATATGCGATACTCTTTGACCGAAATTTCCTTTTTGACAGATTTGCTTTGCTCGGACCAAGTGGATGCGGGAAAACTACTCTAGTCAATGCAATAGTCGGCAGAAGCGACCTAGACGCTGGATCCATTTTTACTAGTCTTAAAGATCTCAAAGAAATAGGTTTTATGCCCCAGGTAAGATGACTGACAATTACGTAAGTGTTTTTCATTTGGTGAAGGACATTACTCCGTGTGAAGTGTAGAAAAGCTATAAAGATGCAATAAACGTGCTTCGATATTGAGGTCCCCTTATTTTTTCCGAAATGTAGCATGGATGTAGCAATCATGATGATACGTAGAAATGAAATTAAGAGATGTCAGTGGCCTAAAATTTTCGGGTATGTGTGGCGCTTAGGTGTCGCAGAGCGTCAGTATGTATTGTAAAAGCAACTCCTGTGTCCTCATGTATGATGATACATTCCTGAAGATTTGATTTTCATTGTTTTAATGAATGATTAGGAAAATCCTCAATAAGTCATCCTCCATTTTTACAAGTATTTGAATGCATTTTACCAGAATCAGCTTAAATACATTTGCTACTCTTACTTTTTTAATTATTTTTTTAAAAAATTTCTTTTTTATAGGCCTTCGCCAAATTAACTGAGATGTTTTAATTATTTTTTACAGAATACTCAGCAATATGCTGATTTAAAATTATTTGATTTCATTCTTCATATTACAGAAGAAATTTACGTAAAGTTTTAAGGCATTATTTCCTTCGGTTTCCTGTTTAAAAAAATATGCTTTGGAGCTAAATGTTAGCGCTCAACTGACGAATTTATTTTTTGGTTTTTTATCTATTTATGCATTTACTTTTTATTGGAGGCGGTTTTTAGTACTAGTTTATCGAATCCATTTGGCTCCAAGGGTCATGAAGACACCGAATCAGAAAATAATTAATTTATACATTCTTCATTTCTTTTTTAAAATTAATATTCATATATGTTTTCTTTAAGGATATATCATTATTCACGAGACTTAGCGTCCGTGAAAATATGAGGTTTTACGGGTACCTGCATAATTTAGACGCAGACGAAATTGAAAGGAGGAGTAAATATCTATCTGATTTGTTAGCCTTACCACCTTTCAGTAGACGCCCTCTAAATTTAAGGTGAGAAAATTTGGCTTTTTATGGGAAAAAGACGTACAAAAACTTCCTTTTGATTGAAATTTTAATGAAGAATTTGGCGAACTTACTCTACTTCATTTTCTAGCTGTGTCAGAATGTCCATGAAGATGAACACGGCAATTTTTTTTTCAATCGTCAGAATAATTTATAATTTCATAATACTGAGCGATATTTTTTCCCTATTTCTAAAGTATAGGAGACCAAATGGACCGAGTTTGATAGAAGGGAACCAATTCTCGGTCTTTATTTCAGATGCGACTCAAATCCATTGATTTGTGTAAAAAAGAAGTAGTTCAATGTATCCGTCCATATATTGTGTTTCTTTTTTGCTCCATTTGACCAATCAAATCCGAGAAAATTTTGACCACAAAAACAACAATAACGCTCATTGGTTGACAGCTTCGAAATAAATTTCCAACCCCAGACTTTAGGAAAAATAATCTTGCAGAAATTTTCTTAGATCGAAAATTGAATAAAATTATAATTTTCAAAATGAGTTAACCTGCTTGTACATATAAGTAGACTGTTCATTAGAATTTCAGTCGGTACCTCGTCTAAATCCTATTCCATCAAAATTTGCAGTTATCATTATTGTTTCTTCTATCGAAACTTCCAGACGATTTAATAATTTCAGCTGATGTTGATGCTGAACCGATTAAATCTCATAAAATCCATTTAATACTGAAAGTTCAAAAATAAATTACGTTGAAAGTGAAGAATCGACGGCGAATCATACTTCCATCCTATTTATTTGTGAAGATTAGCACATTAGCCTGAACAGAAAGGCTCAATACAAGTCACATTAGAAAAAGTTACAAACGCAATCTTACTTTAAAAACTCTTGCTAGGTGTAGCGAGGGTTTTGTAAAAAGTGTTCTTTTAATACCTTAATGAACAAATTTGGCGACTCAGCTCTGATAAAGATTTCTTTCAACTATTCGGGTAACTTGTTGAAAAATCTGACAGCCCTAAACTCAAAGCTAAGAAACGATGATATAAATATCTTTAAATCAAACGGGCTTAAATGGTTATACATTTTTGGAAGAAAATCCAATAGCAAATGATAGTTATATTTTCTTCATTTTCCAGTGGAGGACAGCAAAGAAGAGTTTCTTTGGCAGTAGCTCTCTTACACGATCCCAAAGTGTTAATCTTGGATGAGCCAACCGTTGGGCTGGATCCAATTTTGAGTAAAAAGTAAGTTATGCTTCTACCACGATAATATTTTCAGACTAAGGTAAACTTGGCTGAAGGTTTAATTATTATTGAAAAATAAAGTATCTAAATGCCAAGTTCCATAACATACCTTTGATGAAATAAAATCAGGAATATCCGTAACGCACACCAATACTGCCATTCTAAGGAGGAACGCCGCATGAGTCATCAGACTTGGCCAAATTTCCCTTAATTGAATACGCATTTCCGAGGAAACTTTGAAATGTTTGTTTTCTGATTTTTCGAAGAGTTTTTTTCGGACTTTAATATGAACTAACTGAAAATTTCATGTGAAAATACTTGTAAATTCACAAAAAATAGGTATTTTACAAGGGAAATTTGGCAGCATCTGAAAATGAGTGCGGCGTTATCTCCGGGACGACAGAATAGGCATGCGCTCAAGTTCCATCGGTGGAGGAAGAGGCTCTATCAATAAACGCACACAATCCATCGGCATATTGTTACGGTTATTTTTATACCCATTCGTTTAAGTCTCCGAAACGTATGGCCATGTATACAGTGTGATTCGAAAATCTTACACCTCTTTTAATTTTTATGCTATCCAGTTTAAACTCCGATAATGTTCAATAGTTAAAGTGAGCTTTTGCCGCCGCCCCCCCCCCCCCCCCCCCCCCCCCNGAAAAAAATTCGGAGGGATCCTCCTAAGAGAGGAGGGAACTATACATGACTTTTTTAAATGGCAACCTCTACCTTGTGATACATTGTCGGAATGGACAGAAAAAAAATACACTTTTTGGCGCAAAGTTGAGACCAATATTTCAAATTGTTACAAAATGGCAACCGGGTAAAGTTTAAAATGGAGGGAAAAAAGCATCTCAGCAGCCAATCAACGGATTTTCTCCATATCATTGCATATTGTTTGCTTATATTACTATCAAATTGCAGTGTCAAAGGGCTTTTGGAGCGTTGAGCTCAAATTTGACACTAGATCAAAAAAAAAAAAAAAAAAAAACCTTTTTGAGAAATACAGGAAACTAGTATATTATTCCGCCTCCTCGATGGATTTGCTTCAAACTTAGTATCTTTGGTACTTTTTGGAGTACCAAACATGACTTTGATACTAATTTATCGAAATATTCAACCCTTCTTGACATATATGCTAATTACCTACATATATTTGGTGCTTACAGTTTTTGGGATAGGCTACGGGAAATGGCTAATCAAGGAAAAACGGTAGTTCTCACAACACACTACATAGAAGAAGCACGCCAAGCAGATAGGGTCAGTATCAATGAGGAACTTTTGATGCGGACTCCTCTTTTTTACAGTTCATAATTTGTTTTTAAAATGTCACATCGCAAAGTGTCCATTGAACGCAAAAATGCATATTCTAATGGAGCTCGGACAGAAATAAAAAACTTTAGAAAGGTTTTGTGAAACATTCATGAGCTTAATACTTGGAGGTTAGGATGGGCTCCCCTTCCCCTTAAAATTTGAAACAGTATCGGCTACTCCCCCTCACCGAGAAAATCTAGAAAATAGAAAACGCTCAAAGAAACTGAAAGTTTTTTACCCCAGAGCTATATGAGGCAGGTAAAAGGAAAATTAAACACGTGTTGCTGTTCGAGGCGATTTATGGGTGTATGATATTTGAACTTTAAGGTTGTACACGGTCGAATTTGGTGCGAGGGTAGCTTCAAAAGTTAACTTGAGGAGGAATTAAAAAAAAAAAAAAACAAAAGCCTGAAATAGACCCCGGCAACCTTCTTTTCTATCTTGGGAGACCTGGAAGTACGTGGAGGAGTGCAGACCAAGTTAACACGAAAGGACCCGTCGTGATTTCATTATGATTATAAATATTTCCCTGAAGTGGCTCATGGAATAACTGTTATTTTTCAGACTCCTGGCAAAATAATGATGGTTTTTAACTTTACAATATTCATTTTCACTGCAAAAAACGATCGCATTCGGAAGGCTATTTCTTGCATCTGATTTTAAACTTGCCTTTTTTTATTTTTAAATGAATTCATTCTAGTTCTTATCATGTATTCCCATCATAATGACTAATCGAGCTTATTAATGTGTGTTCAAAATTTAGATAGGTCTGATGCGAAATGGAAAGATGCTTACACAAGATACCCCACTGGCTTTGCTCAAAGAGTACAATACTGATTACCTAGAGGATGTATTCCTCGCTCTCTGTTACCAAGAAAACAATAAAACTTCCCGTAAAGTAAGTCAAAATGTTTTTAAACATGGCGTTGAGAGAAGAAAAGTCTGCAGACGCGGGAAATTTGAAAATGTGTAATATCGGCCGCGGAAATTGTAAATCACGCAGAACTGTGTCAATAATGATGAAGTCAAAGAGGCATTTCTTTGAGGAAGGTGTCAACAACGGTCGGCACCGTATGCCTATTGAATATTTTAAACTTTCTGCTACTCATGTTTTGAATACGATGAAAGTATTGAGGAAGATAAATGAGGAAAATACGGGAAATCAGTAAATTACTTCTAGTCGAATAATCGTATCACTGTGCCGTTTGACTAGTATTTGCTTTCGTAAAATTAAGTGTCTATTCAAGAAACCAGTCAAGAGATCATATTCTGTTTGACTTCATTGTACCGTCAAATATCTCACTTTACACCTCTCATCATTTCAGATCTCCAAAGAAGAGACTAGTTTTTCTAAGGTCAGGACTTTTGAGAAACCCAAACGCATCTCTCTATCACGCATAAAGGCCCAACTGTTGAAAAATTTCTACGTACTTAAAAACAACCTGGTGTAAGTATGAAATATCTTAAGTATTGAGAAATGTGATCCAATTTATATCGTGTCTTGTGGTCCTCTAGAGAGCGCACTATTACGATATCATCATCATTACAATAAGCTCTTTGATGCCTTAAATTTTCGCTTTTGTCGCAGTTCATTCTACCGTTCAACTGGGCCGACTTACCTACGTGATATTTGCGGCTATCGACAAGTTATAGTCCCTAAGCCCTTTCAATTCCGATTCCGAATTTATTACCCGAGTTTTTTACATATATATTATGTGATTTTGTAAGTTCTTCCATGTAAACTACGTGAATCATTTTTATCACAGTTCGTTCTAAAGCTCTACATGGCCGACATTCATGATTTTTGCAGCTATATCGATAGGAGATAGTGTCCAGATGCACCCGCTCTATTTAGAGTAACTCATGGACAGGGCCGGATTTACCTACTTGCCCGCCCATGGGCCGCCTGTATTTTGCCGCCCCTTCTCATTCGTTTTGAAACATCGTACGAACCATAAAGTGAACGTGTCGGAGGAGAAGGGGTGCATATGACGCGTTTACTCGTGTTGGGCACATTTTTTGTGGGAGCTCTGTCAACACTAGCTAAAGTTCACGGAACTTTGCGCGAAAATTAAGTTCCGTAAACCTATCTCTGTGTGGACGAGGCCTTTCATTTATAAGAGAAGAACGAAAAAATTATGCAAGAATAAATATGAATGTGGTTTAATAATTTCAATTTCCGCCAACCGCAGTGTTTGGCGCAATGCGTGAAGTATCCCTATGGTCTTGTAGGCGCTATGCGTTTCACGCCGACCGTTGCTGACCTCAAACTGTTTTTGACGCAACGCGTGAAGTATTCATGCAGCCTTGTAGGCGCGAATATGTATTTTATGCTGACCGGCGCGCCGAGGGCTTCTCCTTTCCATCTCAAGTCCTCGTTCTCATTGCTTTCTGCGCCGCGCCGCTCCAGGCCAAATTTCGTGTTTGGTTTCTCTCTCAACTAGACTAATAAAATGCGCTGTCTCTTGTATCGACGAAAGACGAACAAATTAGCAATTAATATACTTTAACTCTCAGGAAATGAGAGATTTATTCGCCTTTTCTCGTCTGTAATTTTTTTTCTGGATCAGATGTTTTTCTTGATATCTACATTTGAAAAAGTTTCAACATTTGCCGCCATGGGCCACGGCCCATGTGGCCACCCCCTAAATCCGGCCCTGCTCATGGGGACCCGCGAGATGGGCCTTGGGGTGCGCGAAGCACTTATGAAGGGGCTGAATCATATGAGCCGCGTAGCGGCCACGGGGCGTTGCCTCCTAGTATAATGTTTACTTTAATTATTGTATTTCGCTTGTTTCTAGGTTGACAATATTTGGACTCATGCTGCCTCTCGTATTAAATATCTGTGCCAAAATAGCATTTGCTCATGATCCTTACTATTTACCTCTAGCGATAGTCAACGAAGAGTTTCCCGGCAGCGTTGAAAATTGCCCTCGAACTTTCACCAATAGCTGTATACTATCTAATCCAGAAATGATGGCCAGCTGCATTTTTCTGAACGAGCTAAAAAATCGAACTTATGTGATGGTAAACGATTTTCAGTGTGACTCGGCACTGATTTTCATCAGTGCATTTACAAGTTTTGACAGTGCAGTCGTGAAGTCTCCAACTTGCATATTAAACTAATGAATTCTGACAAGGAAATAATTGCGACTTTTTGGATTTAATTCAACACAAAAAACCCCAACCTCTTTTCCATTAATTTTTTTCCCCGCATGCGAAAAATGAACTTCAATGTACAGTATACACTAGGAAAAAAACACATTGGATCTAGAGTCCAGACTCTTGAAAACATTGACAAGAAAAAGGACTCTTGATTCAATCAGATTTAAGCTTAAATCAAAAGGAAATCCGCTCAAATCAAGAGGGCTTGGTCCTTGTTTTAAGCCTAAATCTGATTGAATCAAGAGTATTTCTTCTTGTCGATGTTTTTAAGAATCTGGACTCTAGATTCAATGTGTTTTTTTTTTTTTTTTTTTTTTTTTTTTTTTTTTTTTTTTTTTCAGTGTACTTCCCTCTTACTAGGATGGCTTTCCTTGAAAAATGCACATCCTTTCCGCAACATTTCGCTCTGCCTTACTCTTATTAAAGAATATTTTCTTAGGTAAATATATAAAACAAAGGAATAGAATCATTTAATGCATTTCTCAATGTTTCCTCATAACAGTAAAATAAGAAATTGTAAAGTGCTTCTATCAAACACATATTCCAATGAGTTCCACGTGTGAGAAAGATAGGCAATTTGCAATGTAATGAACAATTGCAATCTATCTTAATTTTATCGCAAATAATTTCAAGAAGTGTCCTTTTATTCAGTGGATAGGCCACATACGCGACACTCTAACGCAGTAGCAATACTTTTACCATTTCATTTATGGCAATCCGTGCCCAAAGTCTGATATTTTTGTATTCTTCTTTCGAACAGACGGAATATTCAAATTACGAGGATGCCCTCCAAGATCACATCCATAAACGGAATAGGGGAATCGTTCAATTCACAAGTAACTTCACCGAGTCGTTGAGCGAAAGATTCATGGTTGGACTTATGGGTGCGTCCGAGTCTCTCTACGAAAGCAGCACAATTCAAGTTCTTCTGGATGGCGCAGGTACTTATCTCCCATGTGTAGGTGACCAAACCCCCCCCCCCCAATGGAGGCAATGGTAATGAGAAGATCCATCTAAAGGATAGGGCTTATGCTCCTCATAATCCGAAAAAGCAATTCATCGACGAAGTCATTTTTTAGCTATGGAGCGGCACTTTCATCTCCCACGGAGTGAACGGAATCGTTGCTCTTTAGGTACACTGGAAAAAAACACATTGAATCTAGAGTCCAGACTCTTGAAAACATTGACAAGAAAAAATACTCTTGATTCAATCGGATTTTTGCTTGAATCAAAACGAAATCCGCTTAAATTAAGAGGCTCGGTTCTTGATTTAAGCTTAAATCTGATTGAATCAAGAGTACTTTTTCTTGTCGATGTTTTTAAGAGTCTGGACTCTAGATCCAATGTGTTTTTTTTTCCAGTGTATGGCAATAGATGCAGAATCCACCGTGGCTAACCACGGCAAAGTCTGTTACACGCGTTTGTATGGGCACAGCAGCCCCCCACCCCCAAATACCTCCCCTCCTCTTAATAATTACGCCACTTAAGTAAATGAAAAAACGCAGGAAGAAAAATGAAAATGAGACACAAGTCGAAAAGTTTCGTTTCTAATATCCTCTTTTCAGTCTTCGTATGTACTTTTGGAGATTTTTCAGGTAAAAGTTATTTTCTCCATGTGGAAATTAATATTCACTACACTCACATTGTTGTGCTGAGGAAAAACTCCGAATGAACCGTTGCCACACTATCTCCATAGAAACCTGGTCATCTGAGAAAATTCTGAACAGTTTTCTTCAATTTTTCATGCAGTTTTGTTTGCAATCTAATCTATTAGGTAAACATAACTTTCCTCAAAAATAAATATTTTATCGCAGGAGAGTTGGCAACGTCTAAAGGCCCATACTGCGTTTTCCCTTAGAACAGCAGCACACTGGGTGCGTTTAACTTTCCTGACGTCTGAAATCGAAATCAAACATAAACTAAACCTTATTAATTACCCAACAGAAAGTAGGAAATTATGCACTTGCTGACGATTTTCTCCGATGACCAACGCTCTCTCTCGGCGGAATAGCGAACTACGCGCCGGGCTCTATTCCCTCCCTCCCTGCTCTTGCCTTCGAGAGCCCATCGCCCGCCACCTGTCGCCAGTCTGTCTGGCGGTATCTCCAGTTCCTTTGTGCCGCGCCGCCCCATCGGAATTTGCGTTAGCGCCATGGCGCCTAGAACCATTGATTCGGTTTCCGAGAATTGAGTTCTCCGTTATCTGTTTCTTCCACTGCTGACCCACTTCTTCGGGTGCTCGGAGTGACCACCCACGTAACTTGTTTACATTCGTCCCCTAGTGCGATTCTTACGTATAGTATGATACATGATTCCTTGATGATTTTCAACGAAGAATTCGAATCTGAGGTCAGATTTTGGCTGTCGTGCATTATAATTTCTTCAGAATGTGGGCCGGCCATAAATCACATTTACATGTGCGGAAATGCAATTTAACGGGAAGATGTGAGAAAAAATCGGTGCCGTTTGATGCATCATGTATTCTAGGGAAAACTATCGTGTTCAATGAATACTACCGGTAAAAGGACACACATGCTTTCAAAAAGGAAAAAGAAAAAAATACGAATAAAGAGGAGGGGGGGCATATTTTGGACAATTTTCAGAAGTTCTTTTACAAATCTCATTTTTTCTCTCATGTGTGGAAATGCATAATTTAACGCGAAGCTGTGAAAAAAAATCGGTGCCGTTTGATGCATCATGTATTCTAGGGAAAATTATCGATTTCAATGAATACTACCGGTAAAAGGACACACATGCTTTCAAAAAGGAAAAAGAAAAAATACGAATACAGAGGAGGGGGGGCATATTTTGGACAATTTTCAGAAGTCCTTTTACAAATCTCATTTTTTCTCTCATGTGTGGAAATGCATAATTTAACGCGAAGCTGTGAAACAAAATCGGTGCCGTTTGATGCATCATACATTCCAGGGAAAATTATCGATTTCAATGAATACTACTGCTGATGAAAGGACACAGACGCTTTCGAAAAGGTAAAAGAAAAAATATAAATAAAGAGGAGGGGGGGGTATTTTGGACAATTCGCAGGAGAAGTTCATTTACTAATCTCATTTTTTTTCTCTTTTATCAGGGAATCTATTTTGTAAACCATAAAATAAGTCCCAAAGTAAGCAAGTGCGAAAATTATCCGCTCGGTTTGAGTATTGAATGCAATATTTCTGTGTTCGCAGACTTTCAGCTTTGCGTCAGGGTAACGAAGTAATTCTTAGGGAGGAGACGACTGAAATATGTCTCGAGGTATAACGGATATGTTTTTTGCCAAAAAAAAAAATCAATTGAAATCTGTAAAGAAAAAAAATGAGTTCGATAAATCTTTTTTTTTTCTAATCCCGGTGTAGCCTTATGGGCAATTTATTTTAACTCCACTGAATATATGGACTGCATTTTGCAATTTGGAACTATAAATTCTGGCTCTTCTGGAAAAACACCTATACATAGGTATCCTATCCATAGGGAAACTATTGGCACATACGTTGTTTTTAAACCGGGCTAGAATTTATAGTTCCAACTTGCAAAATGTAGTCCATATAATGGACCAGTATTGAGCTATATATAAATGACGTGATATCTCTGAGTGTGAGTATATGCTTTCCATGTTTAAAATGCTTCGATTCCTGTAAGTAATATCTCAAAGATATTCTGTACCTATAGTTATGCGCATATCGACGGTGAAACTACCAAACCACGTATCTCGGTTTGCGACGTCGCAGACTTCCTGTCATACTTTATTTTTTAAATGAAAAACTACTTAACATCCAGTCTTGAAAATTGAAAATTTCAAAGAATGATATTGATTTGGTCTACTTCAAAAAAATAAAATGTGAGCGTAGATTTTTAAACACCGCAAACGAGATACGTGGTTTGGTAGTTTCACCGTCGATATTCGGAAATACACTGACATACACTTGTTACAGAGATGTCCATCAAAGATCAAATGCAGAGAGATCTCTCGGAGGCCTTCCTGACGACCATGCAACAAACAGTGGAAATCTGCACGGATCTCGTGAAACCGGGCGCTCTCGGTCCTGCCCTCCACGTAAGTTCGCCTTCAATTTCGCCGCATAGGCAACAAATCTACCGGGGAGCACGAATAGTTATCTATCCAAAAACCGCACATTTTTGTTCATTGCCCCATCAAGTTTGATAGAATCTGTAAACAACTAGCTCCTACGGGCGCCCTCCACAGCTAGCAATGGTGGTGCAGTAGTTTAATTGGAATCGGAGCAATTAGTTGAATCTATTTAATAATGATGAATAAAATGTCTGTAACAATACGTGTTGATAGCAATACGCAATACTGCAGTTAATAAGTCAGGGTCAGTCAAGCCGCAGAGAAGATGCCAGGATATCAAGAAGCTGTGAAGCGGAGCAGCCGAGGGATGGCGAAGGAATGTGGGTGGCAAGTGACGAACTGACGAACGACGATGCAACCCAAACTTCCCTCTTTGAGGTTGGTGGGA